AGAGAGAGAGAGAGAGAGAGAGAGAGAGAGAGAGAGAGAGAGAGAGATGTGTGCACCTACAATTTAATATACATAACCATAAATAGTTAATTATAAGAATAACTCGGAGAATAGAGATGAACTTTTTACTTCACTACGCTTTACGCTCTCTAACTAACTAACTGATTATTTTCTAATAGAATAACTAACTGATTACTTGGTAAGGCATTAGAATTGAAATTACAGTTAAAACGAGCAAATGGATTTGATTTTAGTTAAGATCGCAAATAGATTTGTTTTTTCTTTTTTTACTTCAATTTTTTTTCAACTTTCTCCTTAGTTAATATATAGTCTTCTACTTTGCCAGGCTTGAATTTTTTTGTTTTTTTTTTTTCGTTAAACTATCGGTTTTTTCATGTTTTTTCATGTTTAGATGGAAAACGAAGAAAAGTTTTTTCGAGACCCAATTCATAAAGAACTACCCAAAAAAAAAAAAAAAAAATGCTATTGTTTGTTGACTGTGGAGCTGATCTTCAATCGATCGCATCCGCTATCAGAAATATATTGCATCAAGAAAGAATTTTGTTTCGTTACTCTCAATAGATGATGGCCCATGTTCAAGTTCGTTGCAGATAACGACACCGACATATATGTACTCCATCTTTTATTCCGTACAAAAAAAGCAAAAAATTCCCCTTTTCAAAACAAGTGAAAACAGGATTTGGCCGACTATTAAATGCCGTACACCACATTGTCTAACAAAATTTTGTATTTTTGTCGTAGAACGCAAAAATTACAACCTGTTTTTATACGATTTTAGCATTATGAAAGTGAATATTAAAAATTACACCCCTTTGCAAATAAACGTTTACTTACCGTAAGAATGGTTGTGCCCAAGTTTCAAAAGTTGAGGCAAGATAGGTTCAAAATTGAACACAATTAATGTTTATATCAAATTGCTACTCGTCCTAACGACATAAGACTTGCCTTCAAAAACAAAAATTTTCGTGAAAATCCTTAAGCAGGTTAGGATACAAGAATACGCATACGCGGTCCAAAAAAATTTGGTAGAATTAATTTTTATTTCAAATTGCTGTTATGGGTTAATTTTCATCGTAACATATTAAAATTTAGATCTTTCTACTCAATAAAGACTCAATTTTCATTAAAATCTTTATACAGGCTAGGCTACAAAAAATAGACCGACATGGTCAAAATTTCGTTCAGTTCATTTTTCTTGATCTTAAATTACTATTGTGATCTGATTTTCATCATAAAGCATTGAAAATTATACCTTTTTGTGATATGAACTTCAGTTTTGGCTCACTATGGTAAAACAACCGCCCACTTTGAAAGGTTTTTACAAAATAAACACAAGCCTGCTCTACATATTTATACAAAACCTTTACCTTAATTATCTGTCCAGCACAGTGGGAAAAGTTATTTCAGTGTGGTGTCGGGAAGGAGCGCAAAAAATTTCCAAACTACCTAATAGTAAAGAATGATATAGAAAATAATAGTAACCGTGGAAAAGTCTTCTTTTATGAGATCAAAAGAATCGATTTTCCAATTAAAATAGTATATAATAATAGTATATAAGGATATTCAAAATTATAAATGCAATTTTGTTGAAGAGCATTCAAAGCGACTCCAGATCCATTCGAATTGTTTACAGCGTCTTCAAAATGATCTGCTCAAGTGAAAGGTGCGAGGATTGGCGTCATATTCATTTAAACAATACTTATTAGCGAAATTATTATTTTCTCCTGGTCAAAAATTAAACTTGAGTTCCACCCAATCGCAGAAACAGCAAAATTTTTAAAAACCTCCCTTCGCTCCTTTATGAACGTTTGTTTGTTTCTATTTAGTTAGTGAATTCCTTCGGGCAACTATATCAATTATTGTTTGGAAATTCTGTTTCAAAATTTTCTTTTTGGGCAAATTGTTACAAGATATCAGTAGGCTGCGTAAAAGGAATTGTAAACAAATATTAATGAAATACCGTTTAAGACCACCTATCGCGAAGAAAGCCATATCTGATGTAAAGTACGTGCGTGGTGATTGCAGTCTAAATTAGGAGTTTTTTCTTGCAGATTAACAGTAATGTAGTCCTTCCACTAACAACAACAAATATCTTACGCTAATCAAAAATATAAATACTTTGCGAGCTCTTTAAAACGCGTATATATATATATCTACTATATATACTATATATATACTATAGTATTGTTCTCCTCGGTGCTGGTTATAACATAAATTATGTATGCAATTAATATAAATAATTTTCTTTTTGTGTTTGCGCGATTGTTCTTCTCACTCACAATATCGTTTAAATGTACATGTAGTTGTAACCTCTTGCATTTAAACAAATAAACTTTCAAATATATAACGATTTTAAGCGATATCGACATATATGATGTGTGTTTACTCTTTTACATACACATACATATATATTAAGAGCAAATTCTCCAATCATAAATCAATAGATGATTTCTTTCGTTTTTATATACCAAAACATAACATATGAAAATATCTATTAATTCTTGTTTTTCCTTTCTTAGCCTTTTTTTTTTTTTTTTAATAGATATATATACTCTTGTAGAAATTTTTAATTTAAATACATCATAAGAAAAAAGAAAAAAAAAAAAAAAAAAAAGACGCAGCAAAACTCTAACAAGAACAAATAAAAATTTTAATTATAACAAAAAGTAAAAATGAATTTTGTTAAGATTTATTTCCCTAAGCAGACGGAGGAGTGAAAGTAAGTATAGCTTTCGATGATAAATTCTCTGGAGCTCTTTCATAAAAAGCAAATTTTTAGGAACCCGAAAACGCACTATGCTTATTTCTTCTAGCGAGAGAAATAGAAAAAGAAACCACATATAGTTATGCCTCATCCATCCAAAATGACCGAACATATGCCCATAGTTGGTTATGTTAAAAGTTATTTTTACGATTGTCAGTCCATCTGTCCGCTTACTTTGGTGTCAATGTACTTTTGTATACAAGTTATCACAATTTTTGATACATTCAAAGAAAATTTACAGCACACACGTATGATGGACTGACTAGATTAGATCAGACTATGTTTACGACAAATTAGCATATTATAAAAAGACTAAGTAGTTTATGGCATTAAATAGTCAACCTTATCATGTCATGACTTTTTAAATTGCCTTATCGTAATAAATAAGTAAATATAGAGCTCTTTAAGTTTTGTTACCTTGAGAGTTCGAATTACAGACAATAAACATCAAGGAAACTTAAAGGATCCCACTGAAATTTACTAATGATACCAAGGCGATCATTAATTATAGTGAATGTATCATATGCCCGTTATTGATTAAAAGGTTTCATGGAAATCTGTTAGGCTTACATCGGTCAGCCATATATTTGCATTTCTCAATTATTAGGTTTTCGAAAATCTATAACGAATATACAAATTTATATAGAGTGAGCAGAGGGAATATCGTAAGTGAGAAGGCATAATAAATTGTCGCAGTTGGTTGAGAAGATGTTAATCTACAGATGCTTGCTCTAGTCGATCATTCATTGCTAATCAGTGTGCTCTGTCAGTTCTCTGTCTAATAGGCAATTAAATCAAGGGTAAAATCCACCGACGTTTTCCATGATTGCAATACGAACGCATATAACCTTAGCTACAGCAACTAAACCTTTTTAATATGTTCATAGACGTTTAAATTAGAAAAAAAAAGAAGCGAAATTAAAATTTTCTTCTACTTAAGCGACAGGCTTACTAAACTATACCTTACGTTTAATAAATATATTTAGAAACTTTCTGTTTTTCTTTTTCACATGTACTGTCAATTTCAGAAGCCAGATTCTATAGCCAGCCCAAGGCATCATTTCAAAATAACTTCAAGAATTCTTATCAGTATAATAATAGCGTTCACAAAATCATGAGAACATTTTTATAATAGATAAGCGAACTCGTTGTAAATGCAAAAATATTTCAGATGGCGCTTTCCTTTAAAGTGTTTCACTTAGTTCATAGCAAATTGAATATTAAAAAAAACGGCTGATACTTTGGTATTAAATTTAAGTGTTACTTACGAATGACATCATGTCTTCAAGAGGTTCGTAAATAATAAAATCGGCTACAAATTTCGCACATTCTTCAGCATTGCGAATGAGGGGCACATGTAAAAAAGCCGTCGGCCTTATTGTCGTAGAAACAAACTTCTGCAAATTTCAAATTACAAAATCTTAGATTGAACAGATAAGTGGAAAATCTTATAAAAGTTTACTTGAACTTTACACTCGTTCGGTAAAGCCAAAACCAGGGGTCTGCGATTTGGATTATTTATAATAAATTGATGGCGAAAATTTTCTGCGTATAATAGGAGCAATCGTTCCTTTGGCGAAAGAGTGTAATAAGAAGGCGGATAACATAATTCGGAATCAGCAAATTCGTCTATTGTTTCAGGAAATGCCAAATCGATGCGGCCAACAATTGTGGAATCTTCGTTCCCTAATAATTCTTCAAAGTATTCTTCATCTTCTTCCTCTTCGCATTCTTCTTCTAAAGCTTCTTCAGCTGCTAACTCAGCCATGCGAGCATCTTCGGCGTGCCGTATTTCAATCTCTTTGAGGGCGTCTGCATGTTTGTTTGGATCGATGGTAGAAACAAAAGGTTGGAATTTTTTTTTTCTCTCTTCCTTCGGTGGCATAGTGCTTATTTGTAATTAAACGCGAATATATGTAATCTTTTTTCCACGAGTCAAACAGAACGTAATTTCTTAGCATAAAAAATAAACTACACAATCGTCATGGTTACAACGTTGCCAGAATTGAGGCTGAAAACGAAAGAAATTCACTTATAATTTGTCGGATTTGTGTCCAAAATATCTCTCGGTTTTTGTCCAAGCGTATATAAAAAAGTCACAATGAGTTTTCAAAAGTTGGCAGTGGCAAACTACGGAAAATAGTAACTTTTCTTCATAAAGCTAAGCCGAGAATGAGAATGAACATATGAAAGATATTGACGCTTTTCGGATGTAGATGGCGTTTCAAGTGTAGGAAAATGTGGTTAGCATGAATTAAACCGGTTTTTATTTTCCACTTGTCCTTTCAAACACTTAAATGATTATTTTTTAACAATAACATCAACCCACTATGCTAAATTAACGTTTATTAAATTACTTAACGGACACACGAACAGGCTCTACATAGATGACAAACAAACAGAAAAATTAATACCGTTTTAAGTCTAGCTTTTTGTTTCTGTTAATTTCTATTCGTTGAAACTCACTTTCTCTATATGATATTATGTATTTAAAATTTTTATATGTGGCAATACTTTCAAGTTCGATATGAACAAACATGTTCAAAACCTTACTTCAATTTTTTTACATTTTTATTTCCCGACTTTATTAAACCATTTCAACAAAATTATATATAATTTATATTTATTAACAGAGAACTCATCTAACTTTCATTTGCAACCACTTTTTTTACAACTATTTCGCAATTTTCTACCATAATTAAGCAAATGTTGCATACAATAATGCGGAAATACAACGAAATGCGTGCACTTGCCAGAAGAACTAACTGTGCCAATGAAAAGCTAATAGAGTGGCCAAAAGTATACTATATATATATACTATACTATTTTGTTGCAAGCTATACTTTTTTGTCGTAAGCTATACTGTTTTTGTTGTAAGCTATACTTTTTTGTCGTAAGCTATACTATTTTTGTTGTAAGCTATACTTTTTTGTCGTAAGCTATACTATTTTGTCGTAAGCTATACTTTTTTGTCGCAATGATACCAGCTAACAACTTTTTTTTTTATTTGAAGACTGTGACATTATTAAATGTCGATATGTGTTATTTGTGTTAGTGGGCGAAATCGCGAGGAAAATTTTCAAATTCCGGACACTGCCCATTGTATATCAGTAATATACTTAACAAGCAGTTCCGGCATTTCCTTAGCACTCGGCAAGGGAGTGTAAGTAGGATGTACTTTGATGGATTCTTTTTTTTTTAAATTTTCGGAAATTTCATTTTAATGATTGAATTAAATTCAGCAGAACTAGAAATTGTTGACCATCGATAACTTGGCAGAAATTAAGATATGATTTCTGTTAAAGTGTGAGACATTATAGTTCCATTTAGTTCAGCTACGTTACGTTATTAATCTGAACTTTTTTGTTTTCCGATGATGGGTGCTATTACTTCTCGTTTCAATAAAATTTTAGTAGTGAGTAAAATTCCTTTCAGTATTATTAAACGCGCCACGCCCACAATAATTATTTAATGGTGTTGTTCATTATTATTCTTTTAAACATTTCTAATTGACTTGCATTTGTCAACATTTTTGCAATAAAGAACTATACAAATTTTAACGTCAAAACGAACTTTTCGGAATATTTTCAATCTTTATCTATTGAATGCATTTAGAACGAAATGATGGGAGAAGGGACGAGCACAAACCCACCGCACATGGAGACCACTTACTGGACTTTACATTAAGGATCTTACTGTAGAAAAATTCCAAATGCTTGGTCCGCCATTTAGGTTACTCTAATCGGAAAAATAAAAATCAAAGATAAGCGTATTTTAGGCGTAGGGACAAGTTTTCGATGTTTTATATATACAAATTCATTTTTTTTATTTTTTACTTTTATAATATTGCAAATGTTGTATCTATCGACTTTTTTAGCGACATATTCATATATGTATTTGTGAAATACAAAGTATGTGTGTTATGAAATTATGTTGTAATGAGACGACTTGACAAAATGACAAAAATGTTTTGTAAAACGCCTTACTTTGGAAAATACACATTCAAAATTATAAAATTTTGTGAGGAAATCTGACAAGGAGGCATAGTCGGATAATGACGCATATAGTCATGCACAACTGACTGATTGTAGGAGAAATAATCTGTTTCAGTGTTATTAATGGGGCGACACTTGAAGTTACTTTTTTTCTCATTATAAAAATTTCAATATACTTTTATGTTTATTGGCAACACTTTTCAGCGCTCACGTCTAAATAATCTAGAGAACAAAAATTAATTTGTTTCGTTCAGCTAAAACATTTTTAACATAAACTATTATAAAAATTGTCGCTTTAAAGGGCGGTTGAAAGATTTGCTAACTTGAAAATATAATAATTAAAGTGTTAGATAGTTACGTTCACTTTTGCGAATTAAAAAAAATCCTCATGCTCTAAGACGAAATATAGTGCTGGCAACTTTACCTCGCTGATTTATATGTTTCTGTTTACAAAAAATATGAAAAATAATCTAAAAAAGTTCATAATAATATTATAATATAAATAATATAAAATAAATTGGTTATAAAATTCCCAAATTAAATGGAAAACATTGAAAATAAATTAACAGAATATCGTTTAAGAAGAAGACGTGAAGAAAAATTGCAAAATTTTAAAGAAGGTTGTAGGCGTTTATTACTTATGATTGGGGCAAAAGATAGAACTGGCCAAGCAGTTGTAACAATTCAACAGGTTGAAATTCCACCTCATCTGTGTGCACACATTTTAAAAATCTATTTTATTTTAATGTTAATCCTTTGATTGCGTTCTTCTAGGATCAGTTGGATAAAGAAATTGAATCCGCAACATATGATGAAACTGATGCTGTTGAATGCTTAAAAGGCTTAAAAGACTGCGATAACGATTCTTTAAGTTTTGCAGGGTCAGAAGACGACTTGGGTAACTTGCATTTGTACGAGTACAATAATGAGAATCGTTTCCTAAAATACACTCTATGGTCGCTGTACCTTCTATTCTGGATTACTTTATATTTTATCGCCATTGAATTACAATTTGGTACAGTGTATCTGATGTTATCGATTTTAGTAGGTATATATTGCAACACACGTACGGGTCCGAAGAAACCGGATGAAATAAGTGCTTACAGTGTATTTAATAAGAATTGCGAAAGTATTGATGGCACACTAAAGGCTGAACAATTTGAGCGTGAAATGGGTATTAGATAATATCAAATTTCCTTTCTGTTTTTATTATTGTTCTTATTTTAAGTTTTTATTTGTGCTTTGCAAGAATAAAAAAATTAAATATGTTTGTCTAAATGTACTGTGAATTTATGCGAAATATTTTATTTTTCTTTAAAATGATAATTTAGTAAAACAAATACAAGCGCTAAAGTGAGCTACAGCCCACCCCACTTAACACGGTTACTGATAAAACGGTTTTCCGAAATAAGGTATCTTTTATGAAATTCGCTTTTATAAGATACAGTCCGTATCACTAAATCGCGGATATTTTATTCAAGAGAAATAAACTTCAAAGTTCTTTGATTCACAATTATATTCCTTAACAGTAGGATCATTTTTTTACGATTATGTTCCTTAAATATAGGATTATGCACAATTTATTTTGGCCGTACTCTCAACTTCTACGTTCTTGCCGAACTAGCTCTCCCTTCCAAAAATATTCTATTTATATACATTTTTACAAGCATGTTACAATATCTAAATTTATGGTTTTGTTTCTAATTCCAGCCTGCTTTTCCTCTAATCGTTTTCATCGGCCTCCAACTGCATGACACGCCTGCGAATGTGGACTTAGCTTTTACCTGTCTGCTTTTCCGCTAATTGTTTTCATCATCCTGCAGCTGCATGAGGCGCCTGCGAATTCTCATTTGGTTTTTCCTTTTTTGGGGAATTTATTATTAGGGAAAATTACTTAGCTGACATTAACTGGATTTAGGATTTTCGTAACAGTATTATAAGCGCAGTGATCGAAAAAGTGCTCGGATTCGAACCATAAATTTCATTAAAATATCTCAAAAATTGCCATCTGCAGGTTGAACTTAAGAAAATAAGACGGACAGATAAGCTTCGAAATTCTGAATTGACGTGGTACAACAAATGGTGAAAAGGTTCTTTTACGTGTCACATACATTCCTGCTTTTGCAACGAATGGTGGTTTGAAGAGTTTGGCCTTTAAGCCTTTTTTCGTCTTTTAAGCGAACGTTAATGAATATTTAAGTTAAATTGCGTATAGATATTTCCTCTACCTCGTTAACTCTTGATAACTTTGCTGATATCTATATGCAAACGTTTGCAAATTTTTTCAATTTGCATAAGACATTTCTTGGATGATTAATACTAAATCTCAAAGATAATTTTTATTTCTTCACACACAAATTTTAATTGTGTATATATTTGAATTTTTCCCCAGCCAGAGCTTCATCTTTTTGAGTACGGCACGTGGACGGACATAAGAAAATCATTTTAAAATTTAGTTCTGACTAAAAAAAAAAAATCTAAACATTTATAGAACATCTACAATGAATGTGTGTTTGAGGTAAAGGTGCTGAAGAATGCACGAAAGAGAAAAATGCGTACTTTTGAAATCTTTCATAATTGGAGGCGATCGTTCAATTTTGGTAATTGGCTAAGGGAGAAGTAATAATTTAGAATGAATTTCGATTTTTGTTCAGTTTAATTAATTGCATCTGCCTAACAAAAAAGGAAGAATTTGAGAAGAAAATCGTTGATTCGAAATTGCAACAATAGGAACAAAGGAGGATAGAGGAAAAACCAGGAGATGTTAGAAAAATTATTTACTACAAGTGTGTCTTCTTGTTAAAAACAATTTATCGTAATTGATTGCCAACTTTGAGGACTTTGCGGAGCCGCTTTAATATTCTACGAGGATCTGCTGGATCGGTTGTCTACTTGTGCGAATATAATACAGATGTAAATAAAAATTAGATAATTCAACGTCAAGCATTTAAAAACTTTATCGCAAAAATTTAGTTAATCTATATCAACTTTCGTATTAGGGGTTTACCGTATCAATAATTTTTATACCTAGTGATATATACGTGCTCCTGCTTAGGATAATTCACGGAATCGATTTAACTTTTTGCTTGCTGCCGATAAATGCAGTGAAATAATGGTTGCGGCCTCTACGCTTCCTTTAGAGAAAAGCAATATTTGGGGGTTTTAGGAAAATTTCACATTCAATAAAATGAGTCTACATAGAAACTAGCCGATTCTCTAAACGGGTAAGGACACAATAATCAGGAAACGCCGTCCATCACATACCGTATACCTCTGCGCCTAGTTAAGTTGCTCACTCGTTTTGTAATTTTCTGTAAATTTCTCTCCATATAAAGATTTGAGTTTCATGATAGTGCCTATATACGTTAGGGTCCAAAAAAATAGACCTATGTTATCCAAATCCCCTGAATTACTTTTCATCGTAAATTATTAAAAGCGGGCAAACACATTATAGTCGGGCAAGGCCAAGCATCACTAACCTTATACCCTATTATTTATTGTTATTGTTGTATGAAATTACTAATACAGATCAATTTTCGTCACCACATATTAAAACTTGGACTTCTCTGCTCGACAAAGGGTAAATTTTCGTGAAAATCCTTATCAGAGAGGCGCCAAGATGATTCAAGTTTGGTACGGTTATTTTTTTTTTCCTTCAATTACTATTATGATATAATTTCCATCATGAAGCACTAATAATTATACCTTTTTGTCGTAAGAACTTTAATTTTCGTTATATGAGAGGAGGTTCAAAAATTGTCACAACTGGTCCAAAGTTTTCATACCAATTTAGATTGCCGAAATACTACTGCTGAGCCGAGAAATCTTGAAAATTGAAATCATGTCATCACGTAATGACTTTTCACGATGGGGCGTTGTGTGGGGAATGGTTGAAGAAATGGTTCAATCCAAACAATTCAACAGCGGTCGTCTTTGGGTCAAAGCACGTTAGTGTATCAAATTTCATCAAAATATGTAAAAATGTCAGACGGAGAGACAGACGGACAGAGTGCCTTCTTAATCGATCGATATAACAAAAGTTGGCTACACTTTAAGCCTTTCTGGGCGTTAATTACAGCCGCACTAACTTTATGTAGCCTGTACCATAAGTGGTGTAAATAAAAAAAACAAAATTGTGCAAATGACAAAATTAAATAGTCATTTATGAGGCTTCATTTGTCGATGCGACTGGTGATTGGCGAATATAATGACAAAAATTCCCAGAACATGTCGCTAGTAAAGGGATTAACACAAGACTATCACAATGAAGTTAAGTACCGTCATCATGCTTATGTAAAAAGATATATAATCGGAATATTTGCGCAAGGTCAAGTCAGTCGAGTCAAGAGAGTTGAATCGTTATATTCAAAAAGGCAAGATCAGAAGAAACCTTGTAAGTATAAACCGTTTATAAATAGACCCCTTCAGAATTGGAAACAAAAACCTATTCTATCTTAAAAATCACACTTCATTGGCGCGAAAAGCAATCGAATAAATATGTATGTAAATGTGTTTTCTGCATTACAATATATATTACTTTGGGGAAAAAGAAATCCATTATTTTTTCGGTAGATGGCTGCACTGATAGATTTCTCGTAAAGTATCGATTAAACAGTTTCATATTTATGCTCGTTGGAAAGGTGACATTTCGCAGTAAAAAAAATTCTTTTGCTGTTTTTTGTTTGGTGCATTCAGTTGTGAGTTACAGCGTGTTAAAAATGGAAGTGAACAAAGAGAAAATTCGGTACATTTTAGAGTTTTTCTTTGACAAAGGCGAAAATGCAAGCCAGGCGGCTAATATTGTGAATGGTGTTTATGATTCCGATACTGTAACAGCCAATTATGTGCAATTTTGGTTAAGTAGATTCCGTTCAGGAATTTTTGATGTTAAAGATGCACCTCGCACAGGTAGGCCAGTCGTCGAAAATGTCGATAAAATCGGAGAAATGATCGAAGTTGACCGGCATGTTAGCAGTCGTAACATCGCCCAGGAGCTAAAAATCGACCATAAAACAGTTTTAAACCATTTACACAAAGCTGGATTCAAAAATAAGCTCGATGTTTGGGTGCCACACCAATTAACAGAAAAAAACATGATGGATCGAATTTCCATCTGCGAAGCCTTGGCCGAACGGAATAAGATAGACCCATTTCTTAAACGGATGGTGACTGGAGATGAGAAATGGATCACATACGATAACCCTGTGCGAAAACGATCGTGGTCAAAGAGCGGTGAAGCACCTCAAACGGTGGTCAAACCAGGACTAACGGCCAGGAAGGTTTTGCTATGCATTTGGTGGAACTGGAAGGGGATTATTTACTATGAGTTGCTTCCATATGGCCAAACGCTAAATTCTGATCTCTACTGTCAACAACTGGACCGTTTGAAGATAGTGATTGACCAGAAACGGCCAGAATTGGCCAACAGGAGAGGTGTCGTGTTCCACCAGGACAACGCTAGGCCACACACATCTACAGTGACTCGCCAGAAACTTCAGGAGCTTGGTTGGGAAGTTTTAATGCATCCGCCATACAGTCCGGACTTGGCACCAAGCGATTATCATCTTTTTCTTGCATTGCAGAATTTCTTTAATGATAAAAAATTGGAATCTAGGGAGGATTGTGACAATCGACTACTAGAGTTTTTTGCAAATAGAGACCAGGAGAGGCATTTTGAAGTTACTTTTAAAATGGCAACAAATCGTACAACAAAACGGTGCATATTTGACCCAAATCGGACAATCCGAAGCATGTTAAATAAAGTCCTGAAATTCATATAAAAATAATGGATTTCTTTTTCCCCAAACTAATATATTATTATAAAGACGTGAGAGAGACATACTTTTTTATTACACCGACCGATTTCAAATCACTTTTTGCATCAACCTAAGCTTGTCTGTCCGTCAGTCTTCCTTGTTGTGTTCAATCTACAGTTCGCAATTTTCGAGGTATTTTAATGAAATTTGGTACACCGACGTGTCGAGTTCCAAGCACGAACTCTATTAAAAATATTTCAGATCGGATCACTTTTTCGACCACTTCTCATATAAGGTCTTATTTTAAACCCTCGTTCAAGGAATAACTGTAGGCCATTGTAGAGTATTTAGTTCTTGTGCTTGTCACTCTATACAATTACAATCCGTCAAATCGTACGAAAAAAATTAAGTTGAAATATAAACAAAACGTTATATATGGCATTATTGGCAGGCAAAGGTGACTTTATATCGAATGAGAGGACGAAAGCTAGTGGGGGCAATTAAGAGATTGGTCCGAAAGTGAAAAAGACTTTGCGTCTTATACCAGTAAGCACACTATGTAGCGCAAGATATGTTCTAAGATCGGAAAAAGAATGGAACAGAAAGGAAGGACTAACAATATATTATAGATTAAAAGAGCAAACTAATTAAGTACTGTTTACCGTTAAAAGTCTCTATTTCGAATTGGATTTATTATGGTGCCATGAGCCAAGAAAAAAAGTATTCTGTTATTCCTTCGCTGGGCAGTTAGTCGCTTAAAGGGTAAACAGATCTTCAATCTGTGATATCGTAAGTTTTTACGAATTTCATATATAAATTGTTTCTGATATACCGAAAAATACGTTATAAGATCGACATATTGCGTAAATGCGAACACTACGAAGAGACTCATGCGAAAGTCAAACACAATTCACTTTTAACGTATCTTACGATGAATGAATGATTAATTATCACTGCTCGTGCCCAAGGCTTGGCTACACCCGAAACGTTGCTGCAACAATTTCAGAGAACATTATTGTTAGCTTTGCTTAATTTTTATGCACCGTAGCGCCATAACTTTCGAATTATTTGGTTGGCTTACCATTCGTTTTGTTAAACGCTCGTTGAATACACTAAGAAAGAACTTTTCTTTGCAAACTATGGAACCGGTTTCAATGCATGCTTTGCGTCTTTTGTTTTGATTACTGACTTCAACATAACACAACTAAACAACAGTTAAAGGTAAGTTCAAGAGAAGAAAAACTGGTTACAGCTTTAGCAATAAAAGAGTGGCGAAGAGTTGAAATAAGAAATGCAATCGTGGCAGACTTCAGTATACAATTGTACGTCGACCTAGTGGAGACATGAACTTTTTTAAATTTATATTTACTATTAAATCAAATAATTGAAGAACAAAAGGGGCAAAAAAAATATATATATAAATAAAAAATGGAAACGTCTTCAGCAAATTCGAAAGAAAATCTCGCGTCGCCTAATAACGTTAATAACACTAATAATAATAATAGCAATAACGAACAAGCGAAAGTTAATAAAGAGAATAGTGCAGAAAAACTGTAAGTGCCAGTAAGCTTGAGGCTTGAGTCTTAACTATATAAATTTTATTCAAAAGAATTTTTAAAGAAGTTAAAACATCATAGGGAGACACGGGTCACCCTTGAATACCATACACTATTTTATTTAATGCCGCTAATCATTTTCAAAATAAGATGTCATGTGGGAAGTGATCCGCTCCGAATCATTTTCAAGAGCGCTCGTCCATGGGCAAAAATATGTTGGTATAGCAAACTTTATCAAAATATTTGAAAATGTGTGCCCTGCAACAAGAAAAAACACAGGCAGACAGACAGATAAGCTTCAGAATCACTTTTCGGGTGCTGCAACGTCGCCTTTGTACCGCAAGTAGGGTAGGGTATAACAAAAGATTCAAACCGTTTCCTTCTGAGGGAGAATGAGGGTATATTCATTTTATCAAAACGTTTGCAACGCCCAGAGGGAACCATCAGTATTGTAAACATTCTTCATCAGCACCAAATTCTAAATCAATTGCATGTCCTTACGACCGTCTGTCCGTCTGTCCATTTTAAACATTCTCCTGGCGGCAAAAAAGAAGCTGTCGACTTCAAATGTAGCAGAAACATTGAAAGTCCTTGTAGGTAAATTGCTATTGAAAATGGGTTAAATGGGTTGAAGGACACGCCCACAGCATCACGTAAGATAAGAACACCTCTGTTTTTAAAAGGAATGACAAATTGGTTTTTTGCTCATTACTCATAAACTACAGCAAATTAATGTATAAAAATATGAGCGCATATTCCACGGTCGATGTTGTTATATTCGTAGACAAAAATGGAAAAGATTGACCACGCCCACCCAATATTACAGCGTATCAAACATTAATTTTCTTTTCAATACCTTTATAATGCGCTGCTTCAAAGCTTCAAAAACCCCCTAAAGTATACAAATTGTTGGTCAGTGTTCGTCTGTCCGTCTGTCTTTAGTGTTTAGTAAACACAATAGTGTTTATGGTAAACAATCTCCCTTTAGCGAAAGTGAAGATATCGTCTACAAATTTTCGAAGGAGCTTGGAATTGACCTAAACTTTTCAAAGGACACGCCTACAACACCCACACGCCTACACGACAAAAACCTTTACTTTGAAAATAGAAAAAATCAGCCGCGCCCACTCCATATTGCAGGACATGAAAATTGCGTTCTTTTTTTGTCTTTTTGTCTTGTTTAAGATAACGGTGATGGGTATAAAAGATTCGGTCCCAACCGAATTTAACTTTCTTACTTTTTTCTAATAAAACTCTTTGTCCCCACTAACTATGATTTTTTTTAAAATGTTCTACTCTAAGGAAATGGAGATTAATATTTGCAGCCGTGTTGGTTTTCACCGCTTGCACTCGTTATTATAATGTAACGAAGCCGGACCATGTATGGTAAATATTATAACGGAATACTTAGTTAATTAATTAAAAGTAAAAAAAATGCTTGTTTTTTGCTTCAAGTTGGGATGAAACACATTTCGGTAAAATGGGCAGCTGGTATATAAATCGTACGTTCTTCTTTGATGTACATCCGCCCTTAGGCAAGGTAAGTACTTATCGAACGTGAACGAAATTTTTATTTAGTGAATGGAAAGTCAGATCGTAAATCAATATCCATAAACAGTTATGGTAACAGGGAGGTACGTGTGTCCATAAATGAAAAAATTATGTTGGCTATGTTTTAGGGCGGGTATTTACTGTCCGTTACTTAGAGCGAATAAAATCAAAATTTCATATTATAGGCGTGTCAGCTCGATCCATATTCGATTCAGACTTTTACAGTTAATTGCCTTGATATTCATGTTTCGCAAGGTTTTGACATCTATTTCTAAGCACTTTAAATTCAGTTCTAAACAGTTTGTGTAAATATCTATCCCTAGATAAATCTTTGAAAATTACATTAAGGAAATAATTTTAGAGGATTTGTAGCTATCAACTAACTACCTACACATAATAAACTAAAACTTTCTCGATCGCAAACATTCTTATAGCAGAGTAGAAGTCAGCCATTGTTAAGCCTTTAGACGAATTTACGGGCAGCTGAATCGGTTCAGAAGCGTACGTTGACTTGGAAAAACTTTCTGATATTCCTGGTGTTAAAAACTGAAGGACTCTATTCTTCGGTAGAAGGTAGAAAAGCCAGTCTAGTGAAAATCCAATTTGATTTCGTAAACAATTTCCTAATCTACGTGCGGATTGTGCTCGGAAAACAATCTCACGGTTTCATTTTCAATTATTCTCTCTCTCTGCCATTCTTTACAATGCCAAAACGAGTTCGACAAAGAGAGCAACTATCTTTAAAAGAATTCGATGTACATTGTTATTTTTTTTTTTTCGAACACTTGGATTTCGGCACGAAGGCTGAACATTGGCTTGTTTTTATCTATCAAATTTCGCCGCTTATACACTATTTTTCTTAAGGTAACATATTTACAAGTTTGGTTATTTGATGCTGACTCCATCCCTCTTTCTATATGGGGCACTTGGTGTGGTGTTGTGTTTTCAGTGAAAATGCAACTCAGCATTTTCGCGAGCGTACCATTTAGTTTGTTTATATTCCTTTTATACCCTACACCATCTTTATTACAGGGTATATTAACTAAATACGGTCGTAGGTAACATGCAAACGGGCTTAAGATGGAGCCATCTTTTATTATACCCATCGATTCAGAATCATTATCTGAACAGATCTAAGACTGGCTGTCCGTCTGATGTCTTCCCATGTAAATTCGTTTTTGAGATATTTAGATAAAATTTGGTACAGTGACGTGCTTTCGCCCAAGAACAAACGCTATTGAAAATGGTTCGGATCGGTCCACTTTTTCCACCACGCCCAATATAACGCCCTATTCCGCAAAGTCGTTACATGGAAATTGTACTTTCCCACGGGCAAAGCTGGCAGAGCATAGGTAAATTGAACGTTGACTCTGCTTACCTTTTAACTTTCATCAGGAAGAGTTGAAAAATCATTTTAATCGTTTGGCCTTTAGCTTTTGTTATGTAATATGCAGCGTCATTATATTATTTCTCTACGTACTTATGGGGCTATGTGCCATCGTATGAAAGGATCCAGTTGTTGTTACGCACGGGAAATTTTTTAATTAGAAAACCTTCTTCTCCTAAAAACTATAAAAAAAGGCTGAGAACTCGTTGTCAGCCAAAAATTTAGGTCGGAAAGTGAAACTTATACATATACATAAAAATATATATGTATATATAGTTAGAAATGAATCTCACGCCTCTATAAACAAGTTCTCAGCAATTGAAACGTTAAAAGAATCTTGGAAAAGATGCTGAAGATGCACGATCGATGGCAGGTATTCCTAAATAACGCATCTATTTATCACTATGGAAATAATCCTAAAGGCGATTGCTGCGGTTTTAACTTTTTAAGATCAGCTTCAAGCCGACTAAGGGGCTTTCTAACCATGATCTTCTCTTTGTCTTGATTAGATGCTAATCGCTTTTTCTGGTTACTTAACGGGTTATAATGGTACCTATCCGTTTGAAAAACCGGGGGACAAGTACAATGGCACTCGTTACGAAGGTATGCGTTATGTAAGTAATGAAAAGTAAATCGTAAGAAAAATATATTTATTTTGTACTTTTCTAGTTTTGTACCACTTTAGGCGCCTTAATAATGCCGATGGCGTTCGATACCGTTTACGATTTAACGCGATCTACGGAAGCAGCGATGGTAGCAGCTAGTTATCTCATTTTTGGTAAATACAAAATATATAAAAAAAAATATTGAACCAAATAATCATTACGAATCGAAATAGTTCCTAATGTGGCAGCATTGCCTTGCATATGAATTTTTGAACTTAAAAAAGCTGAATACTTTTTTCAACTCGTTAATATAATCATTTTCACGAATTTTTTTTTGTAGATGTTGGTATGCTTACCTTGAATCGTTACATTTTATTGGATCCGATTTTATTATTTTTTATGACGGCTGCCGTTTGGGGCATGGTCAAGGTATCCAAATTAACGAAACAATCGCATTCGTATACCTATCAGTGGTGGTTATGGTTAATCTTCACTGGCACAATGCTCTCTGCTACAATTAGTGTAAAATTTGTTGGTTTATTTGTGGTTTTTCTCGTTGGCTTTCATACCGTCAATGAATTGTGGTTAATTTTGGGTGATCTGCAAAAACCAATTGTAAGCATTATATTAAACTGTATTTGTAGCATAAGGAACATATAAATATTTTTCAAAAAAAAAAAAAAAAAAAATTCGTATATTCCCTGATACTGACAGACAGATTGTTTTAAACAACTGCTAAGTCGAGCTTTAACTCTCATCATTTGGCCGATAATATTGTACATGTTATTCTTCTACATACATTTGGTTACATTAAATCGTAGCGGTAATGGTGATGGATTTTATAGCTCAGCTTTTCAATCGCGTCTTATCGGCAACTCGTTGTATAATGCAAGCATGCCACGTAAAGTGGCTTACGGTGCGGTGATAACCATTAAAAATCATAAGACAGGAGGAGGATATTTACACTCGCATCACCATTTATATCCCAAAGGATTTGGCGCAACACAACAACAGGTTTTTTTTTTAAATTTTTATTTATTTATTTTTTTTATTTCGGGAAAATTCTTTTTTTCTCGTCCACACTTGATAGATTACTACTTATACCCATAAGGATGATAACAACAAGTGGTTAATTAAACCGTTTAACAAAGAGCCAGGAAAAGAAGTACGCTTTGTGAGAAATGGAGATTTGATACGTTTAGAGCATTTGGTAACGAAACGCAACTTACACTCGCATCCCGAATTAGCTCCGATGACGAGGAAGTATTTACAAGTTACCGGTTACGGAGAGGTATTCATTAGCAGTGGCTTAGAATGCATTGTTTTTTATAAGAAATTGTGAATTGTGTGTGCGTGTGTTCTAGGATGGCAAGGGCGACGCTAATGACGTTTGGCGACTATTAGTGATGGGAGCGAAAGCTAATGAAACCGTTATGACTGTAACGACCAGATTTACTTTAATTCATCATTTACAAAATTGTGTGTTAGTTGCTACCGGCAAACAATTGCCCAAATGGGGTTTCGAGCAGCAGGAAGTGTCTTGCAATCCGAATCTACGCGATAAAAATGGTTGTTGGAATGTTGAGGATAATAAATATAAAAAGCGTAAGTGGGAGTGAGAGATTTCTTAGACAATGAAAGATTATGTGACCTCTTTTTCCCCTTTTGTTTTTACTTACAGTACCCAATGTTAATTTTAGTGTTTATGCTCCGGGATTTCTGGCCCGTTTTCTGGAATCTCATGCAGTTATGTTGCAGGGTAATGCGGGTCTGAAACCGAAAGAGGGAGAAATTACAAGTCGTCCTTGGCAATGGCCTATAAATTATCGGGTATTATAAGGAAATCTTTTATAAATAGTTTACAAAGGAAATTCTTTTTGTACCCTACACCGCTAGGTATATTAAGTTCGCACTATATTACCAAGGCATTTGCCATAGACCTTCATCTTATTATAATAATTGCTTTAAAATCACATTTGGAATCGTTTTAAGCCTGTTTGCCCGAATATCTATCTGTCTGCTTGTCTGCCTATCTTTCTGCTGTGTGTCCATATATATATACATATATATGCATATGCAACGTGCAGGTATAATCTAAGGACGAATTCATTTGAAAATGGATTACCTGATTTTAGTGGATTTTATGACTACTCCAAAAAGCGTCGTATTTTGAAAACAACCGTTGTTGGAAGAAATTTGTAACTTTTAATATTTCCCGACAAAAATAGGCGAGGCACAGTATCTTGAGGGAACCATTTCTCATCTAAAATTTCTTTTCTATACAAATAAGCCTTTAGATGTCAACAAAGTGCAGTTGTTAGCCCTTCAGAGTGGAAATTAGCCGAGTTATTCACTACGGCGGCCTAGTCTTTCACGGCTTCCACAAATAAGTATTCCCGTGAAAATTAAATCCATTCAATATTCTGTGAAGAGGCTAGCTGAAGAAGTGTGCGAATTGATGAGGTGGTGTAGGGTATTTAATAAACAACTTGACTCCTCTATAAAACTCTCATTTTGTTTATTATTTCCGAATCTAGGGACAGTTTTTCTCCGGCAGTGTCCATCGCATATATCTATTGGGGAATCCGATAATATGGTGGAGCAACTTGATATTCTTGTTCCTCTTCCTAATAGTGTTTCTTATGAATGCTATTAAACAACGTCGAGCAGCGGGAAGAAGACACTTACAATTGCAATTGCAACTGGCTGAGTCGAAAACACCCGAAGCCGATAAGATTAAAGAACCTGAACTAATGAAAACTTTGGCTCAAAGAGCTAATCCAAGACAAGAAGGTAAGAAATCAATATTCAATCAGGCTGAATGATTGCAAAAATGTTCCGGCATTTTCCTCTCCTTTTGAAATTTTCAGTTGATTTCTTCGACGCACATACCTTGAAACCAGCTCTATGGCTCTTCTTGGGTTGGCTAATACATTATTTACCCTTTTGGGCGATGGGTCGTGTTTTATATTTTCATCATTATTTTCCAGCATTGGTTTTCAATTCAATGCTATCAGGTATTTTTATGACAAAAAAAAATGTATATACATATACACATACATATATTTATTTATTTGCAAGCAAAACAAGCATTTCCTTGAAAAAATTTATTTTATTTACATTAAATTTATTTTGCATAATAACATTTATCCTCACGCATACGAAAGCGTGCATATTTGCTTGAACGGGGCAATGTTGTTCAACCCCATTTTATTCATAGGGAAATTGCCAATAATATGAATTTAATTTAGAGCAGTATGACTACATGCTATTCTTATTACCCTGCTGCCTACTTATGTGGTGACGGGAAAACGCCAATATTTATATAAAAAAATTTCAATTTTAAATGGCCTCAGGATTGTTATTTATGTTTACGGTTCGGTCTCTTTTTATTTTTCTTCTTTTTTGCTACCGTTAAAAAATTTAATAAAATTCATTTAATAATATTAAGATCCGCAAAATACTAACTACATACGCTTTTATATAAAAGTGAAAATAGCTTTCCATCCAATACAGACCTTAATCCTAATGAGTAAGCATGAATATAGAAAGTTAATATAGTAAATTTTAAAATGTCCTAAAGCCCTAAACAAGCAGTTAATTCTTAATTCAATAAAAAATGATAATAATATATTACGATTAAATGTTCGAGCGCAAAACTAAACTACTCCATTTACTAGAACTTCAAGTTAAAAATTTCATAAACCATGTAAAGATACCATACCGGAGCACGGCCTACCAATAAATACCTTACTCTTGCGCCTACAGTTATTCCTATAAGAACTTCTCAATATAAGGTAGGCGAAAACGTAATCCGATGCCAAGCATTTTCAATGTATTTGGATGGAAACATCTCGATGGACTAAATTTCATCAGGTTGTACACAGGAATACAAGCGGTGTGGGCGGACGAATGAACAAGCCTAGATCGTTTCGGCATAATAAATATGTGTGATCTCTCTATCTCAAGTTTTCCTGGGTGTTGCTTGCCGCACTTAGTTAATATACCCTTGTACCACAAGTGATGTAGGATTTAGAAAGTAAAAAAAATGTACCTGAATACAAGATGAATAAGAACGCCATACTCTGCCGAAGCCGAAATTAAATACCTATACTATATACACTACCTTACTACCCTAAACCATTTAACCCAAAAATAATAAACTTCTTCATCTACTTTCGTCGTGTGATGTGAAAAAGTATACCTGCATGCTATACAAAGACTTACCTTTCATGGGAATCAGCGTATAGGAAAGAGAGCTAAAGAAATCCAAGAAGTCCAATTTTCATCTGAAAACGGAAAATATTGCAACGTTTTTTCTTCGCTTTTCTTGTACTTCTCGTATGAGGAGGATTTGCCGAGAAATATTAAAAATGGTAAATTTTTTGAAAATAGTGAGAATCATCGCAAAAACGTTCCGGTCCACAATTCATTTTCAAATAACATTTGCCCTTGGACCAAAAAATATCAGTGAGCCAAATTTCATACAAGTAGTTCTAAATTATGACTTGACAGTCATTATGGAGAGATATCAAATACACAGACGGCAAGACAGGCACTCACATAGACGGATAGCCGGACAGCCAGGCATGTAGACATGCCTAAATAAATTCAAAATTAGGTGGTACAATAAAGAATGGATTAGCTACCCCAGATCCTTCTGGATATCCATATGTCCATATGAATTTAGCATTCTTTGCAACTAGTGGTTGAAATGTAAAACCTAACTCATCGAGGTTGAGGTAAAGTTAATTCTGGTCTTTGCAAGCATTGTGCGTAAATTGAGGTTGCACATGGTTGGAAACTTAGACGACAAAGTTTCTTTTAACGATGACTTCAGCATGTTCGAACTACAGCGAGTCGACGTTTAGAAAAAGATGAAAGCAATCTCCCTATCACGAGGCATTTGATCAGTTATTTTCATAGCTTTTTTTTACCCGCCAAGAAGGAAAGACCTGTCAATATGCAGTATATAAGTGCTTTTTGGTTTAAATCAAGCGCTTTTTTCGAAGCTGATTACACACACATGAAGTTTTAACCGACTTTTATGCGAAAGATCTCTTTCTGGCGATTTGCGGAGGTCTTTCCGGAAAGGCGGTAAAAACTCGTTGTTGAAAACAGTAACCAAATAGTTTGAAGTGCGAGATAGAAATCGTGTTGCACAAGTACTTAGTAGTGTATAAATTATGCGTTTAACTTATTGCTTAATGAAAGTGTTTGGAGAAGAGTAATTTTAATCTGTTTTCATTTCGAGGCCTTCTTTTCTAGCAATATTAAATATTTCAAAGAAAGAAAGGCGTAAATTTCATTCCAGTATTAAGGGAAATAGGTCAGCATTAGTGTCTAAAAAATAATTTTTTAAAATATTATTATATCTATATTGCGACGAGAAGAACCAAATGCTATGAGGCTTACATGTCAGAAAGTCTTAATGAAGCTGCATACTTGTCACACACTACCACCTCAATCTATTGCTATTTACTTCGGTTTATGTAATATTGTATTCAGTATACGCGTGTAAGCGTACTGATTATGGGAATCGATTCGATTTAATGCGCTTACTTTCTAACCTGAATCTAAACGTCAAGTGAACAAACAATTATCCCGATTAAACACATAAAATAAGTCAAACGATAATGGAGCAAATGGGCTAACAGTTTTTGGAGAATTCATCGAACGCGTGCATTGTTAGCGTTGGAAAGCTGTAATAAGTAAAGTGAAGTCTAATAGTAAAGAATTAGTTAGAATTACTATCGGTTTCGATGACCTACGTGCGTACGCAAGTGTGACTAGAAGGTCTGCTGTCTTTTAGTCTTTTTATTCATTTATTCATTTTTTTTTTTTTTTTTTTGTTAATTTAATAAAATTGATATTACGCTTTGGTGGCGGCGGTTAACACGGCTCATTTGTTTTCTAGAATGTCAAACGCATATTAGAAATTCATACATTTTCATTTACACATCTATTGTATAGCATGTATATGCGTGCGTATATAGATTTAATGATTATAATGTTGTTGTTGTTTTCACACTTCCTTTACAGGCGTTATGTTTCATCATTTAACTGGACGGCTGCCAAGATGGTTGCAGCATACGTTGCTCGGGACTCTTTTATCGATTTTGGTATACAGTTTTACATTGTTTTCACCCCTTGCATACGGAATGAATGGTCCGCTAGCTAATGAGCCAAATTCAATTATGCACGGTCTTAGATGGTTGTCCTCGTGGGAATTTTAATTAGTTTATACAAAAAAAAAAAAAAAAGGAAAAACATGCTCTCGAAGCTAGCATAATTGCCAGGAAAAAAGAAAACCGGATTCAAAAGGCCGCGTAAGGAAAGAGTCGTGCAATGTGTTTATATTAGAGAAATAAGATGTGGGAATTATTTAAATATTTAAAATCTATTAACATTACATAGACGAGATTATAATTTATAAAGTAGTAAATGAAATGAAGTAATACCCGCGTTCCTGCCTAGCTTAACTGGGCAGACAGTAAAATTTTTTTTCATTTCAATATATTTACATAAGAGATTACTACACTTACCTCTAATTAATATGCTTGATCATTAGACGTCTCACAATATCTTAGCAGCTGCTGTCTTTGTTTTGTTTTTTTAAAACTGTCCTCATAAGTGCAATGTTTCGCTTTACATTCGCACATAGCTTCAAAACGAAGTTAAGCATCTCTCTATAGTATGAAGACTTTTATGAAAGATTCCAAGTTACTCCGACTGCAGCCTAAGAAGTACAAACGAGGAGAAATATTAATTATGTTATTTATATCTTGCCTTTTTCGTCAATATGAACAAAGTTTTGGTTATCTACTTAACATAGGCAGGCAAGCGCCTATGCGCAATGATTACATCTATATAACAATAGAATGAGTTGAGTTGACATGGATGGAAGCCTGAGCCTATAGTAGAATAGTTAGTATATAGGGTGTGCTGGATTACTTTGTCTCGCTAGACAAAGTAAACTGGGTATAATAATTATCCCACTTCCTGGATCAAGTAGTTCAATTGGGATAAGCAGTGCATAAAGCAATCCTACAGGATATCGTGAGATTATCTTATATTTTTTATAGTCGAAAATCAACGAGTGCATTTGAAAGAGCAAGTTTAGAAAGGATTTCGACAGATCTGTGCTATCTATTGGACTTCTAAGCAAGTTAATTATCAAGTAACGACGTCTTATAGAGTATGGCAGTGGGTATAGTTGATTGTTTCTTTAGCTTTGATATTAGCTCAATGATTTTTTTTAAATGAACAGGCACACAGTATAAGTTTTGGCTTATGTAAGTACACTTCTCTGGCCTATGGCTAGCATCAAAGTGAAGTATATCAAGGGTAAGCTTTCAATTCGTAGAATCATAAAGGAATGTTGTCTTCTTTGCGTCGGCATGTTTTAGGGACTGAACAAAAGCTAAAAGGGGCGGAGCACTAATTTGTTAAATGCTTCGCATCGCCCAGGTAAACTCAATATCCTTAGTTTTTAGTAAAATAAATAGTTATTCTCTATAAAGTGCATATTATTAGCAAATCGAAATGTGCGCTACGTTTAAGGGAAACTATTTGGGAAGAACAATAAAACATTTTTCTTATTTCGTTTAAAGCGATCAGAAGTCCCCTCAAGAAGTTTATAAAGCCACAGGTATTTTCAAATACCTTGCAATGCCGACTGTTCGTGCGATGGACATAGAAACCTATGCTTAGACGCATAAATAAATTGAACTAAAGTTTTTTTATAAAACTAGTCGGCTTTCTCGGTGCTCTCAGTTACTAGCTGCTCTAGTGTGCTTTATTTATATGTTAAACCTTTTAGAACCATCACCGTCGATAAGATAAGAGAGATCGTCGATTAAGATACCATTAGTCTTTCTGATTAAGAAGAAGAAATTAACCTAAGTATTAAATTAAGAATTAGGCACATGTAATTTTAGATCAGATTTAGTTAATAGAAGTAATTGGCTTTTGCACTGTCCTCACTGCTATACCCTGCAGCTGTCCGCGTAGCGTAAAACGCACTATCGAGGGTTTTCCTGCTTTAAACACGTTGTACGCTACACTTACAATGTGCTTTCAGAGGTTTTCTCTGCCCTTCTTGATGTTCTTATACCCATGCCGACCGTACACAAACAGTACTCTCCTATTCCACACCTATCTATAGTTCTTCCTCACTATGACAATAGTGTGCTTATACATTTTAAAAAAGAAACTTGCGCCAATCACATTTACAAAAGAGCCCAGACCGTCTTGCCTAAACACAAGATGTAGTTATTGGAAAATTGGTAAAACCTGTGGATGGAGAATTTTAATATTACTTTCTTTATAACGTATTTCCCCAGCCTGGCGCTAATATTTAGGTAGATTTTTGAAAAGAGCGATTCGTAAATCGTACCGATCAAGCTAGACTGTAGAGCTTGGGCACTTTCAATTAAAAAAGAGAAATGCTTTAATGTGCAATAGATTTTGGAGCCTCTATAAGGTATTTGGCTCTCTCTCACTTCGTTTCTTCATACATTCCGTACTCTACTGTTCGTCTTTTTGCGAACTTAAAAATGGGAGATAGAAAGGTTTTGATCTGAGGCTATCATGCTTGAAAGAAACATATCATCGTAAATATGCATATCGATCATAAACTAAATACAAATATATATGCTACAGCATATTTAAAAGTTCATCGCTTAGTTAATTGACGCAATCTGGATTAAAAAAATTTAAAAAAATCTATAATTGTTACGCGTTTTGATGCTGTAGATGATGTGTATAGCGATTTGCGGAAAAATACTTTTTCTGCGTATTACACTTAAACTTGAAGTAGTGCGTATCCAATATTCGACAAATAGTTTTTATTTTATTTATTTATTTTTTTTTTTTATATTTTTATTATTATTATTTTAATGCAGTAGGTGCCGTGTAAAGTGTTTGAATGCAATGCAGCGTTATAATTACATGCAATCAATTGAAGCATAATGGTCGGTTTACGCACATATTGTAAAAATAATGAGAAGTAGTTATATTATTGCCGCTACACAGCATTGCTCTTATGCTGTTCAAATGAGTTTTAGTGAAATACATTGAACGCGTAACATATATATTTTTATACATATATATATATATACATATATATATATATATAGATAGATAGATATGAATGTAGTCTAAAAAATTAATGTGCGGTATATGCTTTACATGTGCATTTTATATGAGATTTTCGCATCCATCAATACAAATGAATCAATTGTATCTAAAAGGAAATACAATGTAACAAATAAAAAAGGAAAAAAAAAAAAGAAAAAAAAAAACAGAAAAAGGGTTAACGCTGAAGTTGCATGCACACGAGCACACGATGATTGCTTAAATCCATTTATCTTTAAATCATTGCAATCATATTGCATTGGTTTGGTAAACCGAGATAAAATATTCGATAGCATATTTATTTACTTAACGCATAATTTGCTAAAGGTATTGAACAGAATTTAGCGACTGTAGTGATTCCATTCGCTTTAATTGATTGATATCGAAAATAGCTCGAATATTAAATTGTTCAATTTCACACTCATTAAGCAAACAATGAACTCAATAATTTGTTGCTTATACACTTTCACACGCATGCATTCATTTACACTTTCGCATAATATATCATGATGGTCTGAACGATGATGATGACGACGACGACGATGATCACAGTTAGACAGGCATGCCATATGGCAAAAAGCTATTGAGCACAAAAAAAAAAAAGAAAAGGAAAACAAGAAATTATGAAAATTTCTATTTTATCAAATTTGTAAAATTAACTTGTGGAAAAACTAAGGTACACGCAATAAAATCGGGGAAAATATCACGTTAAAGTGAAATGACTTACTTAACTCCCTACATTGAGAGCCGACAATATTCGTTTATGTACATCACTTCTTTTAACAGAAAACATATCAAACGTATCAGGTTGCCGGCGATATCGACATAATTGTAGCTGCATTAGTTTTCGCTATACATGGAAGGGTAGAGTGAACAGTTGTTGAACTTCAAAAAACAGAAAACTTTTTCATTCAAATTACAATGTTAGGTATAGACAATCGATCAATTGACGCCTCTGCGACGCCTCTGCAGTTCATCCAATTCTGTAATATTTGCAAATGTAAAAAACTTTACTAAGTCTATTCACGTCATGTCGAGTCCTCGTCAATCACTATCTAATTGTCTGTTCCCAAGCGTGTATATATATATATAAAGTATAAGATACTGACTAACTCGATCTGCAAACATAAGTTAAGTGTTTATTTACACCCTTCTGTTCCACGAGTAGACGTCACAAAGATGCACGTACTTAACAAAGTCGACTTGGAATCAACGAATAGACATACACACATATTTATGACCAAGTACAGGTATATGTACTTATTTATACATCTTCTTGACGTCATTGAACCGATTTTGCCTTATATTGTATACAAACATATTTAGGTATGTGTCCTACGAAAATACATGCATGTAAGTACGCAAACAAACATACACATGCACGCGCTTGTTGTCTTGAAGAGGTACCGCAAATCAATGAGGAAATTCAATAAGGTCTCACCACACTAAGGTCTCAGCGCACTAACTGCAGCCGATCTCCGGGAAGTAATAGCTAACCGTGGGCTCGCACAGGAAAGCATCAGACAAAGCCAGTGTGGGGTGTAGTTTTATGCCTGCATGTATCCTTAAATACGATTGCGGGCGTGTCAGCTGATAAACTCTTCTTTCTGACTTTTTACATGGTTCCAGCAGACCTACAGCTTTTCACACTTTGTAACGGTGGATATGATCGGCTGAAACTAAAGCCCGATCTATCGTCGTTTACACGAGTTGCTTCTTATCTCCCGTAACAAATCGACGAATAAAATTGCATTCCGTTTGCCAACCTAACTGTGGGAATTCGCGATAAAAAGGGTTTTTTTTCCAAACTTTAGTTTATACATTTTTCTACCCGCTACACCCACGAAACATTTCAATTTATTGCTTTACTTTTTGAACGGTAAACAATACACGAACGTCTCTTTCGAATGCCACTGCAATGATAATGCGGTAAACTTGAAGCCAACGAAATCAATTTCATTTTTATTGTGCAATCGAGCAATCGGTGTCCATCTACGGTTGTCGGCGACATAACCAATCAATTAACCCATTTTTTCTCTTAATTTTAATCGACGTTCAGCAATTTTATTACATTGTCAACTTATATTTACTTTTTTAAATATATAAAATAAATCGAAGATAATAATGTTGTGAAAAATTGAAGGCGTCAGAGCCTTAACCGTTGATTGACTTACATTTCGCCTTATGCGCCTTATATTACGCTTGTAAGTGCATTTATTGTTAGCTAGGGCGAGGAGATTATAAAAATTCGTTTAATTATTCAAAAAATCATTCAAGAAAGTACGATAATGGGAAAATAGTTGAGTTTAAGAACGCGTCACACAGAAGTCATGTCACGCATTTTCAATTTATTTTAACTTTTAAAATTCTTCGCCTACATACATGCATAATATACAATGTATCTATTTATGTATAGAATGAATACCTGCGTTAGGAAAATCAAAATTTCGAGTGCTTTCCCTATAACGTAAACGTTAATCCGGTCTGCTTCTAAAAGTAAGTGTTTTCTGTCTGGCCTAAATCAATAAACTAATAAAACAAAAACAACCATTAATACGAATGCTTTAAGAAGGAAATAAAATGCTGGCGCCCGTGTAATATTACAGCAAAGACAAAACTGAGGTATAAAAGTGATAGTTGTCAACGAAGAGTTTATCAGTTAAACACAAGCAGTTCGAGAGCTCTCGGTAAAATCTCGCAGAAAGCAAAATAAAGGCAAACATGATGACATCTCGCGTTTTTATTCTACTTGCTTTAACGATAAACGTTACTTATGGTTTTTATATGCGACCGATTAATAGAATTGATGAAATTCAAACTGAAATGCGCAATGCAAACGAATGGAATATGTTTAAACGAAAGTTAAATCTAACCGATGAAAAAGGTAAATATTTCTAATTGCACTTAGCTTAATCTGCCAATTGCTCGCAGCTTATTATTTGTTTATGCATTTGTTTATATATATATATATATATGTTTGTACATATGCAACTAACATTTTTCTTTTATCCTTTAATTTATAGTTGAACTATTGCAGTCTCAAAGAGATCAGGAAAAAACCAAACAACTATTATATCGTTTCATTCGTGAGAATCCCAAGCTTATCAAGGCGGAAAAAACGAAAGGCTTAGTTAACGAAGAAGAGATGATCGAAAGGAAAGCTAAACAAGAGAGAGAGGCAGACTTTGTTGATAACCACAAATTGGATTACTTTCGCAAAATTTATCGCAAAGTTGTTAAAGGCATCGAATCAAAAACGTATCGAATTTTAAAGACTTCCCTGAAGATCGTATTTACTGATGTATCTCAAAAGCACTTGAGACGATCACGCCGCACGATCCCGAATACAGAGTTCTTAAAAGAACCGGACGACGAAGAAGGGAATGTGAAAGACGACGTCGAAGATTATTCAGATAATGACGAGTATCCCGATAATTCCGATAGTACCTCACGTTATAAAGGTTATTTCAATGATAATTCCGAGGGTGAAGTGAGAGCTCGCCGTAGAATTAGGTATGGTTCTATACAAAATCTAATTATGCAAGCCATGAGAAGACGTAGGCAACAGGACAGAGAAGAAAGCAAACTCATAGATGACATCGATGGTTAACGGTTTGAGCGAATTGTTAATGTTAAGCATTAACAGTTTCTTTTCCTCAAATTTTTGGGAAAAAAAAACACATAAACTAAGTGCGGACGTTAGTCGCCCCGGTTTTGCGGATTTTTCCAAAGTCATCTAATCTGGTTCTTGGCTGCTTGAATGGACTCTCGCATGTCGAAAGAAACTAATCTATGGGTAGACTGCAGTAAAGTACGTTCATAATCTAATGACGTGAATTTTTTATTTAAAATGTCTATGTGAGACCGTTTGTGTATGTTGTAAATGTGTACATGAATAGGGTGAAATATTTAATGATTAAAATCATATGCTTTAAAATTAAATCAAAACACGAATATGTTTAATTATTACACGAACATTAGAGTTATTAGGTTAATCAAGAATGAAAACATTGACCTTGACCACAGATATGTATTTACAGTGGTGAACAAGTAAAAGCATTATATTGGGCCATAGCCCGCCATTACAACACTACATAATTGTATTAATCATTAATATTGTTATTAATTTTAATATAAAACAACACTACATAACTAATTAAAGTGTGTCATACATAAGTGTCAATGCAACAATAAAAAAATAAATAAAGTATAATCATGTAATGACTTTCCAAAACATGACGTTTTATGAGAAGTGATCGAGGAACTGATGCAATAGGGCGCGTCCTTGGACCAAACCCCAACCTTGTGGTAAATTTGATCAATATATCTGAAAAATTGCAATCTATACTTTAAACACACGAATATAAGACGTACAGACGGACAGGCATCTTTGGATCGACTTGGTCGATATAATAAAGGGTAGATACATCTTAAGTCCTTTTGGGTGTTACAACCGCACAACTTTCCAAAAAAAAAGAAGGAATGAACGAAACGAATTCTAAATTAAAGGACGCACTTCATGCAAGTAAGAATATTGTGCTCACCTCTGGCCGAATGTTTTGCACCTGCCACATTTCTCATAAAGAAAGAGAGCAGAAAAAAGTCACGAAATTTCGATACATTGCAGTATTGCTGGGAGGTGACTGTTTGTTCTTTTTGTTTCATTTTGTTACGCGTACTATGGAGAATATACCTGAAAATTGTTCTCGTTATCTCATTTGAAAAATAAGCAAAAATTCGAATTCTTTTTTCTTTTCCGTTTATGTGGTACTGTGGGCGTGCTCTTTGACCAAATTGTCACGTTTTCTCTAGTGTTTAATATTGGCCTGTTGGCAAGAACTTTCAACGATTGTGTCAAATTCGGACCCAATGCCGTCATACACATTGTTAGGCACATGAACAGGCGAATATGCTTAAATGAGTGAAACAAGAAATAGCGATTGAATGAAGCAAAGGCTAATATCGTAGGTGGTTTATTTCCCAATTTCAAATGTTGTCTTTTAATGCTAGCTCAATAACCGGAACTAATGAGAAAAATCGATCAGAACTCCTTCAAATATTTTTAAAGTGTGTCTCACTTTATTAAGTCATGAATGAGTTAAAGAAATTTAAAATTTTTAACTTAATTAAAAATTTGTTTCGGAGTTGAGTGACATACAGTTAAGAAATGTAATAAATTCTTTATTGATAAGCTATCTGTAAAATATCGGTATTAATATTAAATTGACAAATTTTTTATTGAAAGTAAAGTGAACCGTTTGTGAACTTGTCTGTCCGCTACTACTCTATACTCTACATGGTTTGCGGCGAGGATACATTAAGTTTGCGCGGATTCAGAAGCAATTTTCAGATTGATATAACCATTTCTGTCCATCCGTCTGATTGGTAGTTATAAATTTTTTTTCCATCTAAAGATAACGATGACGAAGATTTCTTTTGTACTCAGCATTGTTTGTTACTTATTTTATAAAATCTCTTTGATTGGTTGGGTAATAATATTATTTCATAGCTCTTAAGTGGCGCGGCAAATGTGCTTCTAAAATATACGTTATATGTGCTTTATGTTAATTAAATAGAAAGTTCGATAAAAAAATTACTTTTCAAGAAATTATTAGATTAAGAGCCTCAACATATTTCAATATTTTGGGAGAAGAAAAGCATTAAATCAACGCGTTAAAATCAACTACGAAAGGAATCGATAAACTCATGTAGATTTCGAAAAATCACATTTGTGTGTGTGCGTTGAAGTGACTAATAAGGCCCTATAAGAACCGCCCACTGAGCAATCTCTTTTAAAACGCAACTAACGAAAGTTATGCTGAAAACCTGTTAACTCTAAGTAAATTATTCGAAAGTGATCACTACCTTCCTGGCGAACCTTCCTGCTACTTCAATTTTCATAATTTTCGGCAAGTTTTATACAGAGAGTAGCAAATTTACTGAAGAAATTTATCCAAGAAAATCGCATTTCGATTCATAAGAAGAAGAAGGAAGAAACCGTTCTTTTTTTTTTTGTCCTCGAATGCGATCATTTGAAACATTTCCTCTCTTATCATTTCATTATACGAACGTTTCACTTCTTCTCTAAAATTTTACATTCAGTCCAATGCCTGTACTATTATCATCTGTTTGTCGATTCTAAATAAGATTGAACTTTTGCAAAATTTTTGATGCTTTCCTAACGAATTCAGATTACGGACTACGATAACAAATAAATACGTGCAAACAGTAACAATTTTCATCAAAGCAGTTGCGATCAAAAAAATAGGCCGGTTGCTGTGAACGGATTTTGAGGAGATTGAAAAAATGGCTCCGGCCGGTCCAAAGTTTTCACACCAATTTGGAATGCCGAAATACTATTGCTTAACCACTTTTTTCGACAAATTTTGAAAATTGAAATTTTATGTGCGCCCGTCCGTGGTTTAAAACGCATAAGTATTCCAAATTTCATGAAAATACCTCAACACTTGTGACTTGTACCTTGAACACATTTACGTGGACGGAGAGACAGGCTTAGATCAATTCGGGTTAGGATTTTAAATCGATCGGTATAATAAAAGTTGGGTCTATCTTAAGCCCAACTGCTTAACTTAATGTTTCCTGTACCACACGTGGTGTAGAATATAACGAATCATGCGAGTGACTTGGAAGAGAGCTTGTGCACCGACATTTCGTGCTTTGACTGCTAGTATCATTAGTCCGAAGGACAATCAATCAACAGAACTAAAGCAAAGAACATAAGATTGCGGACTTTCTGGCATGAGAGTGCACAATGGACGCTTTGGCTTCTCCTCAATTTCTTACAAAATTCAGTTTTCTAGACTTTTCTTAGCTTTCATATTCATTATTGCAATCACGTTGTGTTGGAGAACGTCACGACGATAGCTGATAACATAAAAGCTGAAATACTTTCATGTGCTCAGATGACTAATACTTTTGCATAGAATTAAAAAGAATTGTAAGTGTAATTTCACACTCATTATTGTTCAGTGTTGTTCAGTATATAAGAGCCGTTACTCTTATTTAACAGATTACCCGTATTTTTCCCTTTTTGACAATATGAGTTCTCAGTCAAACCAATGGAGCAAAGATAGTCAAATTGATAATTTAAAAAAAGAATTTGCAGACGTTTGTAAATGTTTTCATGTGTGTTTGAAGAGATTAAAAAAACTTTGAAAATGTATTGGAAAACTTTACTTTTACTTGGGATGAGGACATGGGACCCTCTACCTCATCATTTGCAAAACGTAAAAAGCCCAGTCCTAGTAATTTCATGACTCGCAGTCATGCGTTAATAACCAAAACGAAATCGATATCGCGATATATTCACCATTTGAAGATAGCGCAACAAAACAAACTAATAAAACGAACGTTTTTCCTAGTTTGCCGCCTCTTTTTGATATCAACTCTGCGACGGCCTCAGTAACCTTATTGTCCGAAGGAACACTATCTGTAGGTGGATTATATTGACTAACATCGCGAGATGTTATAATTATGAATTCTGGATTTCAGCGTATTATGGAAGGCGAAAAAATCAAACCGCTCGACGGTCTCTATTTTAGTAGTGATATTATGCTCCCATATGGAGTTGAATTCCCTTTTTAGGATCGACAACAGAAAGAAAACGCGATTGTAAGAATAGACGAATATTTAATTTCTAAACACGAGGGAAGGTGAGTCAGTATTCTCTAGTTTGAATTGGAGACGGAAAGGAAAGAAAATGAAAAATTTATTGTGGCCGTTTTTAGGCGTCTTTTCATTGTTGAGAGATTAGCAATTTTGTTTCTTGGCAATGAAGCGTCCAGACTTGGAGAACCTGTGAATCTCTCAGATTGACTTTGACTTTGACCATGCATATTCGATTAAAAATCGGAATGTCATCTAAAAAGAATGTCCTCAGGAAAAATGCAACAAAAACGTTATTGATGCGAACAATGCACAGCATCGTTGCGAGATATGTGATAATGTATTCTGTAATTTCAATTTTCAACTTTTAATTCATGTAAGTCCTACGAAATGCTTCATTTTTTGTTTACTCGTGGCGTCGGATTTGACTCTGCCAAAATATATGCACATGTATGTTTTCAGATGAATATTAGCGAATGGTTTTCGAATCGTTGTGTCACAGCTTTTGGTGACGTGGCTGAGCAAATATTAGGCGGTTCCGCTCAAAGTATTGCGAACCTTATCAAAAGTAATCCTGCTAAAGTTGAAGAAAATTTTCGCGCCGTTCTGGGCAATTCGTACATTTCTAAAATAGCCTCCAAGTTTGAAACAGTTCAGGTAACTACATATATATAGAGAGATGTACATTCTATACCCACCATAGTTTTTGTGTTTGTAATGCCCTGATATACAATATTCGTAAACTACACACTTCTTCCGTGCGGCGTTAAGTTCAGCGATATGGAAGTTGATAAAATTCGTAAAGAATTTGCGAAAGATTTGTATAGAAAATTGAAAATTGGTCCATATATCTGTCGGAGAATATCCTATCATGCTGTGACGTAAGTTCATCTTTTGTGAATTGTCCTTTGTTAATCAACTTCCTTTGAAGTAAGTTCGCGCCATTGAATTGTGATTTTGTAGGATAGTCCAAGTTCAATCTAC